TCTGAGACAGGATCTCCCTGTTAGCCCCAGCTGGGACCTGGAACTTGGTATGTAGACCAGGATGGCTTCCATCTCACACAGATTCTTCTTGCCTTCTCCCTCCTGGAGTGCTGCGATCAAAGACATGCGCCATGATACTAAATCTTTTTTTTTTTTTTTTTAAGTGAAATTACAAAGCATACCTGCTCATTATGGATAGTGGGTTCATGAATGTTTTTCCTTTGTGCTTTTTTTTTTTTTTTAACACTAAAAAGTTTTTTAAAACGGAAGATCATCCTATAGTAGGAGCCTAGAGACTGAGTTCCATCTTTGCTCTCTCTGGCATTGACATAAATAATCCCTACACATGATTTCCTCCTTAAGTAATGCCGGAGAAGTATGCGGCGTTAATTCTTAGTTACTTCAGTCTAGGAGGACATGAATCTAAAATTTTTCCATCCCCAAACCCCATTCCGAGAACGCTACCCGCACCAGGGAAAGAAACAATTCCCCCCCCCCGCCAAGTTCAGGATTGAGTCTTCTCTCTCAACCTGCAATTCCTTCCCCAGGGGTGTAGTCTGTGGCTACAGAGAGCTGGATCGATTACCCAGAATTTCCGATTCATTTCTAAAATGGGAATTACGACACCTACCTCATAAACTTGTGGTGAGGCAAAGCAGGCGAGATGGCACTTGCCTGTAACCCCAGCACTTGGGAGGTGGAGGTAGGAGAATCTGGAGTTCAAGGCAATCTGCAGCTACATAATGAGTTCCAGACCACATGAGTCCTGTAACAAACAAATCTAAAATAACCCCAAACCCCCGACAAGAACTGTAGTGAGGTCTATAGAAACCGTGTATAAATGCCTGGACATAAGTACCTAGTTACAGAACCCCACTAGTGAGATCCGCACAAGGTGGCCAAATAGAATCACGCCTTTCTCGCCTCACTCCAGCAGCCAATCAGGGACGCAGCCCGCCGCTAAGGCGGCACTTGGCTCCGCCTTCAGGTGTGCTCTGGGAATTGTAGTCCGCGGAAGGGGGGGGGGGCTGGGGCTGGCCCAGGTGTGTTCTGGGAATTGTAGTCCGTGGAGGCGGAGGGGGTTGGCCGCATCCGGGCAGGACACCGCACAGACAGTTCTTCCGCGGCACAGAGAGGGAAGCGAAGCTCTCGGCCACCGCTCCTTCCTGCGGCCGCCAGAGCCACAGCTGAAAGCTGCTCTGGGTAAGCAGTGCGGAGTCTAAGGCGGAGACGCGAGCGAGCTGGCGGAGCCGGAAGGGGCGGGCTCATTCCTGTGACGTGAAGACCCGCCCCTTACATTACTTCCGTAAACAAAGGTAACTGCGGAGGCGCGAGTTCGGGGCTGTGTCCCAGGCTCTGGCTGCAGCTGAGGCTGTGGCCTCGGGCACTCTCCAACCTTTGCAGGTTGAGGGAGGGGATCCCGACCCTTCCTTCCTCGGGTATGTACTGGAATGAGGGGGGGGGTCCCCGCAACTTACTTCTTTGGGCCGTTCAGCATCACTCTGGTCACTGCTGGGTAGCGATAAGTCATTGCTGCGGTGGGTTGGGGGACAGGGGAGGCCTAGAGGGACCGGGTGGTCCTGGTTGGAGGCAGGGCCTAACATTTAAAATCAGCCCGTGATTGACCCTGAGCCGTTCACCTCAGAAACGTTCCTTGGTGTTTGGTATACAAGAAGGATTTTAGTGTTTTCAGTAGCCTGTGACAAATCTCAGACCTTGGCCTCTCGGAGACCATTGTTTTATTTGCGTTACTTTACCTGTTTTTTTTCCTTTTGTCACCAATTTTGTATTAGCATCCTTAAATTTGAAGTTATGTTTATGTGAATCATGAATTTATACGGATCGTAACCTCTTTGGAGAACTGGTCGATCTTGAGTCATCTTTAAAAGTTCCATTTAATTTATATGACATGTTGAAACGATGTCGAAATGACTTTTATTGCAAATACTTCTTAGAAGAAAAATTATTAGCTGAGTTTCAAGTGGATTTATGATTAGTATTTGATTAGAGAACTGGGAATTGGAGCCTTTCCCAAGAAAGCCTTTTCTCTCTTAAGAGGTATAACGGTTTTTGTTGTGACTGAACCAATTTGAACTTGGTGGTCTAAATTTCAGTAACAGTGATACTGAGTCTGTATGCTACTCCCAAAATCCATTTTTATTAAAATTCACAAATTGTTTCTGTAGTAACTAACAATGGATTTGAGTTTTTTGAATAATCATGGCAAGATTAAATTCAACACAATACTTTTTAAAGGCCTAGTATTCCTAAGACAATTTAACATTTGAAGGTGTGAATAGACATGAAAATTTCTGGAACATTTTATGATAAATGAATAATAGAATTAGGAAAAATTTAGATCTGAGCTGGAGAGATGGCTAAGCAGTTATGAGTGTTTCCAGAGGACGCAAGTTTGGGACCCAGCACCCACATCAGGTCACTCATAACAGCTGGTGGCACATGCCTGTAATCCCAGCACCTGGGAGAGAGAAAGGGGTCACAAGGTGGAAGACAGTAGGGATACAGAACAAGACTATCTCAAAAATTAAAGAAAAAAAAACTATATTGTGTGGTCAAAGATGGAGGGTAGCCAGGGCTACACAGCAACACCCTGTCTCCAAAACCTCAAAATTTTAACACTTGTGCACAAATAAAAAGGAAATGTAGAAGGTTATTTTTGGATAGATGAGTATAAAAAATAAGACTGGCTAATTCATGAAAATATTGGAATGAGTAAGAAGCCTTTCACATACACTCCACGGAAAGCTCATTGTGACTTCATAGATTCATTTCCTTTTCTTTCCTTTAAAAATTTTTTTTTAGATAAGATCTCACTGTACTGTAATTTGTAGACTGGCATCAACTCAGGATCCTCCTGCCTCAGCCTCCCCAGACAGCTGAGATTACAGGTGTGCACTATTGCACCTAGGTATATTGACCTTATTAATGTGGGCAAGACCAAACTTACATTGTGATTCATGGTTCGGTAGCTGTAGGTAGAATTAGTAAATTTAAAACAGACAAGAAGTAAGTTTGATTTTGTAGAACTTCTCTTGATTACAGAAGTAGAATCAATATTACCCCTACACAGAAACTGAGTGTCTGCTTGGTAATTGAGATAAGGTGTTCTGTATGGTGTGGAGAATGAACATAGTAGCCATATTTTCAATTTTGAAGGAGTGAATTTACTAAATATCTAGCAAGCCAAAGTAAAAGAACAAAAAAGCAAGTGATAGTAAAACATCATCAAATTGTGTGCTCAGATCACCCAGCAGAAGTTGATGGGGAAAGCCCAGTTGAGACAGTTAGTTGGAGTATCTGGTAGAGTCTCCAGCAGAGCAGTGTCCCCCTCAAGTGAGGGATCCATGAAAAGAAAAGATAACAGCAATAAGGCAATATCTTCAGTCAGAGGCTTACTAACGTCCAGCAAAAATCAGCTGGGGAGTTTGAGGCAGTCAGCTGGCTCCTCATTGAGCTTTTTCTCCATGGATGGGCTTCCCATGCCCCAACTTCTGGCTTCTCTTTCCCACTGTAGACACTTTCATATCATGGAGCAGGGAGTAGTACCCTCAGAGGAAACAGCTTACCTTTTAACTGTTCTCAAGGACACATCGTGTTTACTTTGGGCTCTTTTGTTGTTCTCTTTCCTCCCTGTCACAGAGTTAGGGAGATGAGTCTATCCCCAGACCTGGGGCCTTGGAGGATACTTTGAGACAAATATACTGGAATCTGAAATCTGAGAGGAGGAAACCCTGCTTCCAGAGACAGCTTCTTCATGAGCTCAGACAGCTCAAGACAAGTTACCAATATGATGTAGATTATATAAGGTTTTGAGTTCCTATTTAGTGTGCAGGTGTCCTAATCCTACTTTAATCTGGTTTATTCTTCAGAAAACATTTTGGAAGGGACACTTCCTAAAAGCCACCCAAAGCTTGAGTCAGGCTGGAGTATTACAAAGGTGACTTGTTTATTATTATAAATATTGTTTACCTTCTAGAATGTTGTCTTTTTTTTTTTTTTCTCTTTTTGAGACAGGGTCTCCCTGTAGCCCCAGCTGGCCTGGAACTTGCTCTGTAGACCAGGCTGGCCTTGAACTCACAAAGATCCGCCTGCTTCTGCCTCCCAAGTGCTGGGATTAAAGGCATGTGCCACCATACCTGGCTGGACGTTGTCTTCTTGAGAGAAGGTACTTCGTTTTATTTACTGCTGCCTTCCCTGGATTTACAACAGTACCTGGTTTGTGGAATAGTCAGTAGATAACTTGTACAATGTATAAATAGAGCGAATGCTAAATAACAAAAACCTATTAGACAATTTTGCTGAAGACTTTTATGTACATTAGCAGAGTAAGGGATCCTTGGTCTCTTTCTCTAATGACCTTTGAAATTCTTGTTCCTCTTTGGTCTGTGAAATGCGTTTCTCATTCTCACTTTGCATATGGCTGTAATCACCATATTTCCATGTTCAGGTCTTAAGAAACTAGTGTTGGTACAACAAGGAACTTAAAACAATGGAAGAGCGGAAAGTGAAGAGGAAGAGTCCCAAGTCTTTTAGTGCCCACTCTACTCAGGTTGTTAATGCCAAAAGAAATGCCATTCCAGCCAGTAAAAGCACAGGGTTTTCAAATCCCACATCACAGTCAACCTCCCAGCGCCCAAAGTTAAAAAGGTGAGTTCGGACATTCTCATAGTAAGTAGTTACCTTCTCCTTATAACCTGTTTTCATACATGGCTCGACTTTGTTGTTTGGGTTTTTTGTTGTTTTGGTTTTGGTTTTCTTTTCTTTTTTTCTTTCTTTGACAGTGATGGGGATTGACCCTTAAGTCCTCACACATACTAGGCAAGTATTTGATTGCTGAGCTACAGTCCCAGCTCTTGGTTTGATTTTTAAAAAAATTATTTATTTTATATGTATGTTTTACCTGCATGTATCTAAGTACACTGTGTGTATGCACTGCCTGCAGAGGTCAGAAGAGGGCATCAGATCCCTTGGAACTGGAGTTAAAAATAGTTGTTATCTGCCATGTGGGTGCTAGGAACCGAATCTCAATTCTCTGCAAGAGCAGCCAGTGCTCTTAACCACTGAGCCATCTCTCTAGCCCCATTTGGTTTAATTTTTAAAGCACCAGCTATGAAGGTTTTCAGGGCTTGAGAGAGAGCTTAGTTGGTAAAGTTCTTGCCTGGCAACCATGAGGACCTGAGTTTGATCCCTAGAACACATGCAAAAATTCCTCATGTGATGGTTCATGCCTATAATCAGTCCCAGCACTGAGGTGGAGACAAGAGGGATCCCTAGGGCTCACTGGCAGCCAGTCTAGCCTCATTGATGAGCTCCAAGCCAGTGGGAAACCCTGTCTCAAAGGAGTGGATGGTGTTCCTGAGGATGAGATCCAAAGTTGTCCTCTGACTTCCACATGCACGTAAGTGGACACTTGTACATACACACACACACACACACACACACACACACACACACACACGAGAGATTTTCAACAAATAGAGTTTTACATTTTGTGGTTGTCTTCCCTGAGAGGTGTTAATTAATAAAATAATGTAAAAAACCATGCTTGGATAAACCTTCCAAATTTGGAAGATGAAAAGTATGCTTGCTGTATCAAAACCTTACAATCTCTAGCAGTTTAAATCTCCAGTTTACCCTCCAGAGGGTATGGATCCTTGGGATCTATTTAAATTGCACATTCGGAATCAGCAGGATGGGGCTTCAAACAGCATTTATAATAAATTCACAGGTGAGGTCACAGCACTTTATGAAGCATGGTACCGAATAATGTGATTTATTACCGTGTGTAAAAAGTACAGACCTTGGGGCTGGAGAGACAACTCTGGATAAAATGCTTGTTATACAAACATGAGGACTTGATTTTGGATCCCCAGCATCCAAGTAAAGAGCTAGATGTAGTAGTACATATAGGTAACCCCAGGGATACAGAGATGAAGATCCTGGGGGATTGCTTGGAAGCCAGTCTAGCCGAAATGGTGAGCTCCAGATTAAGTGAGAAATCCTGTCTCAAAAAGAAGTTGGAAAGTGGTAGAGGAAGACACCTGATTTCAACCTCTGGCCTCTGTACACACATGCACACATGTATGTGCCCCTGTATACACTACACACACAAAAATACAGGCCTTACCTTGTGATGGTCAATAGACTATTGTCAACAGACGGTGGGTTCTAAATTTCTTAGGAATTGTTAGTTTCTTTTGCCCCACCCCTTCCTCTGGCAAACACCCTTACACCCCCACACATGTGCTCACACTTGAGTATACAAACTCACCCTATTTATCTTTATTTATTATCCTTATTGAGAGTACAGTTGCAGGGAAGATGTCTTCATTCCATGTTATGTGAAAATAATTGACTACTGAATATATGTATGTCAAGATTTGTAGTATGAATTGCCTTATGAAGATAATATATAATCCCAACCCCTTTTGCTTGTACTTTAAGACTTACTTACGTGGTACCATTGCTAAACTTTTTGGCTGCCCTGGGCTCCAGGAACTCCTCTTTCTCTCTGTTCTTAGATAGCAGAATGTATAGCACCATCTCTCTAGTATTTGAGAGGGTATGTACCAGACATCCATAACAAGAACTAATTAATCATAGGGTTCCAGAATGCCTTCCTGGGGAAATAACAAATAAACTGAGACTTTAAGAATGTGTGAGCAGCCGGGTGTGGTGGCGCATGCCTTTAGTCCTAGACCTTGGGAGGCAGAGGCAGGCGAATCTCTGTGAGTTCAAGGCCAACCTGGTTTACACAGCGAGTTTCTGGGGCTACAAGGAGACCTTGTCTCAAAAAGACCAAAAAAAAAGAATGTGTGTGAGCAATGGCCTTGCAAAGATGGTAGGATGGTAGGAAGTGGAAGAAGACAGAATAGGTTTCTAGGAAGTTAAGAAAATTTAGAATGATTATAGAGTGTAGGCAAGAATAGTTAGGGTTTCTTAAGTGTGTATCAGACTCAGGCAGCACGAAGCTACTGAGGCTCAAACTCAGTAAATGATTTGACCTCATTTTACTTTTAAGAAATTAAATGAACTTGGCTGACTTGTGAGGAGGAAAGTGGGATCAGGGGTATGCACAGGGCCAGGGAGGTCAGTTGGGAAGACATTGGAGTCATTAGGCCAAGAGCTAGGGTGGTGGCTGTGACAAGAAGAAGAGAGATGAGATTAGATCCTCTGAGTATAATCAGTGGGACATCCAGCTGCCTGTGGGGAGCTTAGGACGTTGGCAGAGTCCAGCGCTCCATCCAGACTCCATGAGGTCTTTCTCCTCAGACCATGCACTCCTGGAATGCTGTCTTCAGTGTAGGAACCCTATAAAGGTTTAGTATTAGTAGTTCAAGGATAACTTTTAAAAGGGAAACTGTGTGGAGTGTTTTATTAAGAAATGAAAAATACAAAGCCGGGTGTGGTGGCACATGCCTTTTATCCCAGAACTTGGGAGGCAGAGGCAGGTGGATCTTTGTGAGTTCGAGGCCAGCCTGGTCCACATAGTGAGTTTCAGGACAGCTGGGGCTACAAGGAGACCCTGTCTCAAAAAGACCAAAAAGAAATGAAAAATACAAAATAGGACACACACTAAAAAGACCAATTTCCTTTTCATTTTTTTATAGTCCAGCACAGGACATCGCCTGTCTTAGGGGTTCCACCTTATGTATTTGCTTGAGATTTTTCACCTGTACTTTTTGTTTGTTTCTGGCTTGCGAGCTCTAGTTTGATTTAGTATTCACGCTCCACATTTCTTGTTTTGTAGACAAAGTCCTTGTAATTCACTACAAAATTAAGCAGTTTAATCAGAACGGCCTGAAAGAGCTAACTCAAATTAATTGTATCATCTTTGCAGAGTGATAAAAGAAAAGAGCAAAGCTCAGGGAGGCGAAGGGAAGGCTGTTCAGTCCGCCCCGATCCAGCACTCCTTCCTCACCGATGTCTCTGATGTGCAGGAGATGGAGCGAGGCCTCCTCAGCCTTCTCAATGACTTCCATTCCGGAAAACTCCAAGCATTTGGTACGCAGTCAGCGCTTCTCTTTACTGTTTTTTTTTTTTTTTATGTTCTGCATATATTTTGTCTGTGCATGGATACATGTGTATGCATGTAAACGACAAACTTGCACATCATTCCTCAGGTACTGTCCATCTGTTTTTGTAAAAGAATGTGTCGGGGGCCTGGAGCTCACCAAGTAGCCCAGGCTGGCCAGCATGCCTGAGGGGTCCTCCAGCTTTTGCTTTTTTCAGTGCTGAGATGTCAAGCCTGTATCACCACACCTGGCTCTTTTTATGTGCAATCCAGACTGAGCCTTGCTCTTTTTTTTTTTTTTTTTTTGGTCCTTTTGAGACAGGGTCTCTCTATAGCCCAGCTGTCCTGGAACTCACTATGTAGACCAGGCTGGCCTTGAACTCACAGAGATCCGCCTGCCTCTGCCTCCCAAGTGTTGAGATTAAAGGCGTGCGCCACCATGCCTGGCTAGCCCTGTTCTTTTTTAAAATATAATTTTCTTTCATTAAAACCAAAGAAAAGCTGGATATGGTGATACACGTCTGTAATCTCAGTGCCCAGGAGGTGGAAGCAGGATCAGAGGTTCAAGGTTAAAATTACATAGCAAGTTTCAAGTTTGAGATCATCTTAGGCTGTATGAGACCCTGTTTCAGAATAAATATAAGCAAAAACAGAAAGGGCTAGAGGTTTAGCTTTGTTGGTAGTTGGTAATTGTTTATCTAGTGCTCAGGAAGTCCTGGGTTTGGTCCCCAGTACCACAAACAACCAGGCATGGTTCACATATCTGTAATCTCAGCACTCAGAACTGGGAGGCAGGAAAACCAGAAGTTTAGGGACATCCTCATCTTTGAAGCCAAGTTGAGCCACATGAGACCTCAAAACACACAGACACTCATGCACAAACGAACACAGAGAGAGAGAGAGAGAGAGAGAGAGAGAGAGCATAAAACATAGGCACATAATCATAGAATATGATTTCCCTTAAGTTCTGGGGGACATCTTTTTTGTCTTTTAAAGGAGGGATAGGGCTGGAGTGATGGCTTAGTGGGAACAGCACTTGCTGCAGAAGCATGAGGACCTGAGTTCATATATCTTGAACTCGCTTACAGTACACATGTAAGAAGCTGGACATGGGCATGTGCACACTTGCAACCCCAGCACTGTGGGAACAGAGACAGGATGATCAGTGGGGCCTAGCTTCAGGTTCAGTGAGAGACCCTATCTCAAAGAAATAATGCAGAGAGTGATAGAGCAGGACACATGACACATTCTGGCCTCATGCAAGCATGTATCAACATACATCTATACACACACATGCATGTATAGCACAGACACATTCTTCAAATTCACATGCACACATATTCACAGGGGAGTGTTAGTTGAAATGTTAAATAAAGTAGGATTACTGTTATGGAGTCACTGTGCTGAAGTACTTATTTAAATTAGGTTCTGTGACTCTATACAGTCTCTGATGCCCTCTCCTTCTTAAGGCAATCAAGTCCATTTATGAAAAGCAAAACCAGATCATATAATTTATCTATTTTTATTTATTTTATGTGTATGAATGTAATGCCTGAATGCATGTTAATGCACCAGTGTCGTGCAGTGCCCACAGAGGTCAGAAGAGGGTGTTGGATACCCTAAAACTGGAGTTATGGACAGTTAGCCACCATGTGGGTGCTGGGAACTAAACCTAGGTCCTCTGCAAGAGCAGCCAGTGCTCTTAACTGCTGAGCCATCTCTCTAGCTCCAATTTATCTATTTTTTTAAACAAATAGTAGAGAAAGTCTTTATCAGTTAAACCAATTTAGATTTATTGTGTTAGGTTTGCTTTTGTTTTTTGAAATAGGGTCTTGCTTTGTATGTAGCTCTGACTGTCCTTGAACTCATGATCTTCCTTCTTAGCCTTCCAAGTACTGGGGTTTTTCTTTCTTTTTTTCTTTCTTTTGAGACAGAGTCTCACGTATCTCATGCTGACTTTGAACTCACTATGTAGCTGAGGATGACCTTAAACTTCTGATTTTCCTCTCCTCCTTCCTCCAGCTGTTATGAGTGCATGAATGTGCCTTAATGTCCTGTTCATGCTGGATTAAACTCAGAGCTATGGGCATTGCAGGCAAGCATCTGCCAGCTGAGCTGCATTTTTGGCCCCTTTGTTTTGATTTTTGAGACAGGATCTTAAGTAGCTGAAGGTGGCCTTAAACTCATTAGGTAGCAGAATTTGGTCTTGAACTGATCCTCCTGCCTCTGCCTTCCAGGTGCTAACATTATAGGAGTGGACCACCACACCCAGCTGTGATTTTATGCAGCCCTGGCTGGTCTGGAGCTTGCTATGTAGACCAGGTTGGCTTCATACTCACAGAGATCCACTTGTCTCTGCCTTCTGAGTACCGGAATTGAAGTGTGTCACTACGCTCAGCTTGTAATTTTAAGTTTAATAGAGGTATGTAGATTGCTTTTCAGAAAAACTATATTTGTTTTATCAGCAGTTTATGAAAAAACTCTTTTCCCTGAATTGCTGCAGCAGTAGGTATTGTCTGGATTATTTGTGGTTGAGCTTGCTATCTAGACTGGTCTCTTTAATTTTTTTTAGGGAAGCAGATGTGTTTGCTTTTCCAGTCTGCTAAATGATATTTTATTATTATTTAAAATTTTTTATTTTTATTTATTTTATATGTGTGAGTGGTTTTTTTTGTCTGCATGGATGTGAGTGCACCCATGTCGTGCAATGCTCACATGTGCAAGGTCAAAGAAGGTGCCAGATCCCTTGGAACTGACATTACAGACGGTTGTTAGCCACCATGTGGGTGCTAGGAACTGAACCTGGGTCTTTTGCAAGAGCAGTCAGTGCTCTTGATCACTGAGCCATCTCTCCAGCCCTTAAGTGATATTTTAAAACAATTGTTGTCAAATTTCAATATCTACATGTTCTTGTTAAGTAGTTGGATTGTCCTTTTCAGGGATTTTACACAGGTTTCAATTTGTTCATTCTCATTTTGTTGTTTTTAAGAGCACTTTGTATGATTTAAGTTTAAACACTACTCACTGTTGCCTCTGTTACTTTTTTTTTTTTTAAACATACCATGCCTGTAGCTTTTGTGCATAGAAAATTTAATTTAACCTTGTAAGAAGTCTTAATTTTCTTTTTCTTTTTTTTTGCAACAGCCTCTGGAACTCTCTATGGTAACTAGGCTAGCCTCAGTCTCACAGAGATCTGCCTGCCTCTGCCTCCAAAGTGCCAGGATTCAAAGGTGTGCGCCACCACACCTGACTAGCTAATATTTATATTTGAAAAGGAAGCCAGGGCTTATACTTGTAGTCCCAACATTGGAGAGGCTAGGCTGGAGAGGATTATGAGTTGAAAGTCAGTCAGTCTGGATGACATAGCAGTCCCCTGTCTTCAAAAAATGTGCATTATTAACATCCAATGTCAATTGCATTGAAAAAGAATTTTTCTGTATGAAACTGTATTTTAATAATGAAATGGAGATCTTTTTAAAGGTTAAAACATCATTTAACTTATGTCTTATAGGGTTTATACTGAGTACAATATTGTATAACTGTAATAATTCAACTGTAAACCTAAAAATTTACAGCCAATTTTGAAAGAGATGCATCCTACCTCAGGAAACCGTTATTGAATATGTCAATTGTGTTGTAATGAAAAAAAAAAGTGCATTATTTATATCACAGAAATTCTTATTATACCCCTGCCTCTTTCTTCATTCCACCCCAATAACATGGTATCCCAGAACCCTTTACTTTTTCCTCTTTCTCTTTCTCTCTCCTTCTTGGTATGTAACCTTTGGACCACTTTTACTTTGCTTCCTCCTGGCCTGCCTCCTGCCCCTGTCAGGTGACTTTGGATGTTTTAATTGAAGCCCTACTCTGTGTTGTTACGCAGTGGCTGGCTGTGCATTGCCAATCAGATTTGTCCTTTCGCTCTCTCTCCCCTCTTTCTTTCATTCATTTTTTTGTTGTTGTTCGTTTTTTTGAGACAGAGTCTCCCTGTAGCCCCAGCTGACCTGGAACTCACTATAGAGACCAGGCTGGCCTCAATCTCACAGAGATCTGCCTGCCTCTGCCTCCCAAGTGCTGGGACCAAAGGAAATTTTTTTCTTACTAGCTAATTAATTTTTTCCTGTAGTGATACTTAAGAGACATTTTCTTTCTTACTGGTAAAGTTTTGACCTGTATCAGAATATGCTGGGACTCGGTCTCTCCTCATCTACCTTACCTGGGAATCAGTGAGCCCACTGCTGACTTAGCTTTTGTTCTGCAAAACATTAATTTTTTCGTTGTTCCTTGTTTCTCTCCCATGAATTCCTTTTTCATCTTTCTGTAGCTTCCATTCTCCTCATGTCGGTCACTTAGATCTGTCCCTCTTTCTCGCTCTTTTTTCATTTGTTTCTTTGTGTTTTTACTGTATATATTTCTGCCCCCCTCCACACACTTACACCTTGAAGCACTTCTTCCATTGATCATCTGTGTTACTTGTTAAAATAGGATAAACATCTTATTTTACTTTGAATAAAAGATGATTCTGAGAAAACTGTAGTTTTGCTCTTACTCGGCCTTAGCATAAATGAAGAGAATTTATGATATTATAAAGCTAGTTTATGTGTAGTGTAATTTAATTTGTTTTTATTGAAGATAGTATTTCAAATGTTTATTAATTTATTATTTGTTTATTTGTTTTTTGATATCGTGTCTCATGTATCCCAGACCTGGCCTTGAATTCTATAGAACTGAGGGTGAACTTGAACTTCTGATGCTTCTGCCTCTATTTCCCAGGTGCTGGGATTCAGGCTTGCGCTGCCATGCCTGACTGTATATTTCAGCTTTAGCTGAATTATAATATACTTTTGTAATATATTCAGGAAAAAGAGAAAGGTTTTTTGGTTTTTTTTTTTTCTCTTTTTGAGACAGGGTCTCCCTGTAGCCCCAGCTGTCCTGGAACTCACTATGTAGACCAGGCTGGCCTTGAACTCACAGAGATCCGCCTGCCTCTGCCTCCCTGGTGCTGGGATTAAAGGCGTGCGCTACCACGCCCAGCGAGAAAGGTTTTTTTAAATTATAGTGTGAAGAGGTTTCAGAGGCTATACTTAAACCAGATGAAAATATAGCCTATGTCATATGTATATGTTGGTCAAGAATATGAGTCAAGAAATTCTAGGCCTGTGTATTAGCAATGAAGTCTTGCATTACCATCTATGTGTTGGAAAATATTACACTGTATTGCTCATGCTTCATAATTAATGCTTTAGCATTAATCTTTATTAGTATTCTGGAATGTTCCCTAGGAAATGAATGTTCCATAGAACAGATGGAACATGTCCGGGGAATGCAAGAGAAATTAGCTCGATTGAATTTGGAGCTCTATGGGGAGTTAGAGGAACTTCCTGAGGAAAAGCGGAAAGCAGCCAGTGATGCCAACCTGGATAGGCTCCTGTCTGACGTGAGTGTAGTTCTTTTTCTCTGTTACCTAAAAATCATTTAGTGCAATAAAATATGTCTAACAAATTCACCTTTTACCCATTTTAAATTACATGATGCTGTAATTTTTTATAATTTTACAGTATTTCACAGTCATTGCTGTCTAATTCTAGAGCATTTTTATCACCCCAAAAGAGGCCTGTGCTTCTCAGTTTCCCCCTCCCTCCTTCCCATCCCCTAGCAACCCCTCATCTATTTTCTGCTATGATAAACTGGCCCCTGTGGGTTCTTCATACAAATGGCATTATACAATGTGTGTCCTAAGGGAGTCTTTCACTTAGTGTTGCATTTTCAAGTTACATCTGTGTTGTACTTTATGAGTTCAAGGCTAGCCTGGTCTGCATAATGAGTTATAGGCCAGTAGGCTACCTAGTAAGACCCTGTCTAACAAAACAAAAACAAAACAGCAACAATAAACCTATCAATGAAATGATCATTCTGACATCTATGGAAGTATCTATTTTCAGAATACTGGCAAATTTATAAAGGAAATATTTGCTTCTATACATATTATATGTGTACATATACTTTATGTATATAGATAGATTCGTGCAGATCTTAAGAATATAGAAGACACCAATCAAAAGACCTTTGCCTGACTTGACTAATATACTTATGTTATTTCCTCAAGTGATGGTTACTTATTTTGAAATATAGGACCATATTTGATCTTTACAGTAATTTAGAATGCTGCTACCTTCACAAAGCAACCACAGACTGGGTAGTTTAAACAATAGAGATTTATTACCTCACAGTTCTGAAGGCTGGGAGTTGGAGATAAGTGATGCCTCAAGCCTTGCTTCCTGGTTGTAGGTTCCCATCTTAATGCTCACTTAATTCTCCATGTACATCTGTCCAAGTTTTCTTTCCTTGTTAAGGGCACTAATCATATTGAATTAGGGCCCCAAGGACCTCAGTTTGACTCAATTACCTTTTTAAAGGCTCTGTTTCCAAATACCCTCATGGACATGTTATGAGTTAGGGCTAGAGTGTATGAGTTGGGGGTAAAGTGGGGCACAGTTCACCCTATAGCATCTCATATGACAAACTGAGATGTACTCATTAAATTTGCCTCTTTAAAACCTTTTTTAGGGGGCTGAAGAGATGACTCAGCAGTTAAGAGTACTTGCTGCTCTTGCAGAGGACACAGGTTCGGTTCCCAGCACCCACATGGCGGCTCACAACCGTCTAACTCCAGTTCAAGGGGATCCAACACCCTCTTCTGGCCTCCATGGGCACCAAGCATGCATGTGGTGCACATACCTCCATGCAGGCAAACACTCATACACATGAAATAAAAATAAATAAACCTCTAAAACCTTTTTTTAAGGAGTTAGGTAGATTACTCAGTAAAGTTCTTGCCACACAAGCATAAGGACCTGAGTTTGGACCCCTGGAACCCATGTCAGCCAGCCTAGCCAAATTGGTAAGCTCTAGGTTCAGTGTGAGACCCTGTCTCAAAAAATAAGGTGGAGAGCAATCAAGAAAGACGCCCAGTGCTGACCTCTATCTAGCCTCCATGTACATGCACACACTTGTGCAACCACATACATATGCACATGTATGAACACAGGAATTTATATACATAAAACCTTTTAGAACAAAGATAAATAACCAAATTCAACATACTTTAGTTTATATTTTCACCAGTGGCAAAAATTTCTGTTGCTTTTCTCTTTTGAATAAGTATGAGAGTAATTGTATGCCCATGCTGTTCAAACTTTAAGTCTAGGGAATCAGCAATGCACGTTTGCATTCCCAGCACCTGGGAGTTGGTTCAGGAGGAACAGGAAGGAGTTCAAGGTCATCTTCAACTGCATGCCAAGTACATGGCCAGCCTGGACTAAGAGAGACCCCATCTTAAAAAGAAAACAGAAACCCTACAAGTCTATAGTTTTTATTACTTTAAGTCTATCATGTCATATTCAGTCTTGCAAGTATTTCTTTTCACCAGCTCATGTTTTATGCTTTATTCCTCTTAAACATAAGCTTAATTTGCTGTGTATTTCTTACATTTAGTACAGTAACTGTTTTCGGGGAAAAACACTGAATTTGAAACAGGAAGTATAGGGTATCGCTAACATCTGTGTTGTACTTAGTAACACTGAATAGTTTAGAACATTTCTTTCTCTTTTTCTTACTCTTTTGAGGTACTGAAGATTAAACCTAGGACCTTGTGGATGCTAGCTAGGCAAATGCTCCACCCCTGAACCGTAGCCCCAGACAGCATGCATTTCATTTATATTTTCCTTTCTAAAGTGAAGGGTGGTGTGATCTGGTGTGAAGGTAGACTGCTTATATCCTTCCAGAGGTCATACTTTGAAGTTGTAACCCTGAGGGTAATGGTAGCAGGAGGTGGGTCTTTGAAAGGCAGTCAAGAATGTGATTAGTATCCTCAGAAAAGAGCTAAAAAGGGACCCCCACCTCTTCCATCTTGTGAAAATGCAATGCAAAAGTGCTCTCCTGTGAGCCAGAAAGTTCCTCACCAGACACAACTCTGTTAACATCTTCAGTCTTGGACATCTGGTATCCAGAACTGTGAGAAATAAGTCTTTTGTCTACAAACCACCAACTTAGTGGTATTTTATTATAGGAGCCCAAATAGACTAAAGCAAGGGGTGATAAATTCTACTTTATAGTGAAAATTGCATGATTAGTGAAGTACTTTTGTCATTAATAAAAGTTTTAAAGATTGTGACCTTGACCAAAAAGGCAATTTTTTTCTTTTGAAGACTTATTAGAAATCCCGACATGGAGCCAGTGGGATGGCTCAGCCAGTAAAAGTGCTTGTTGCACAAGCCTGGTGAAGGTCTGACCTAAGTTCAATCCCTGGAACCCATGTAGGAGTCAAAGGAGAGAACCAACTCTACAAAGTTGTCTTCTGACATCCACATGTGTGCTGCCTATGCACGCAAATCTTGTGTGTACACACACTATAATACAATTTTATACACTATTATACATATAATACAGGCATGGTGGCACATGTCTGTGATTCTAGCATTCTGGAGGCTGAGCCAAGAGGATCCTGAGTCAGGGCTACCCTGTACTAGGTACAGAGTTCAAGGCTAACCTGGCAATGTAGTGGGACACTCTCAAGAAACATCAAATGCACACGGCCAGAGATTATTGCCACTACACATGAGTCTAAGAATATCCACAAAACTCTGGTTTTTGTCATTCGCTTTTATTCTCTCTTCACAGTCTTTCACTAAAACTAAATATATTTTGTACTTATTTTGTAAAAAGGAATTTCCCAGCCTGGAAATTATTTGCAAGCTTTTTTTTTTTTTTTTAATGTTTTTCTCTTTCATTTAAAGAAAATGTACATTAAATTATTTTAAAACATGGTTAACTATGATCTACTTTTATTTGTCTTGCAAAAATTAATACTTGTTTCTCTGTGTTGCAGTTAGAAGAATTGAATTCTTCTATGTATCCTTTGCCCAACCTCAACAGCGAAAAGATAATTTCTCCTTCTGGTGAATAATCCCTATCATATCTTATTTCCTTTATTGGGGCCATATCTCTTACCTTCAGTTTTAAATACATCTTTTTCATTGTCTTATTTGCAGAAATTTTGTTTCTGGTTTGTTGTTTTGTTTTGTTTTGTTTTTTTCAGTCTCCCTGTAGCCCCAGCTGTCCTGGAACTCACTATGTAGACCAGGCTGGCCTTGAACTCACAGAGATCCGCCTGCCTCTGCCTCCCGAGTGCTGGGATTAAAGGCGTGCGCCACCATGCCCAGCTGTTGTTCAAGTGATCAAAATTGTGTGTGGGGCTACAGGAGTTATTTTGAATCTTAGATTCTGAGACTACCTGGCAGGTAGCTATCCATAGATAATGTACTGTATTTAATATTATTCCTTAAAAATTTTTGATATGTAAAAAAATTTTAGGTATGTAAGTTGGAAATCAGCTACCACTAAAATAAAGCTTTCAAGAGATGCATACACAACTTGCAAAATGCAGTTTGCATACTCTGCTAGTGCATTATAGAATTAGCTTAAAGGAAAATATCAAGTCTAGTGAAATAGTCTAGTTTTGATAGTTCAGTTCGAAACGATTATTTAACATAATTTTTCAAAATGTAGTTTTTAACGTATTTGTCAGCATAATTATTAGGTACGTAAGAACAGTGTGGAATGAGCCTGCCTATAACATGCTTTAACTTGAGAAGTAAAACTTTCTCTTTGAACCAGATAATGACATAGAATTCTGATTATTGTCTAGAGATAAGATTTTTGAAATGTTACTCCACATTTTAATAATGTGCATTTTCTGTAATACTGAGTAATTGATGTGCATACTGATATATATGTGAAAATTTCTAAACTATGATATATATATATGTTGTAAATATATATAAGTTAGCAAGCAAGTCTAAATGCTTGGTATATAACATGCTGTTATTAATTGAATTGTTCTGTTATGAAAGAACAATGAATAGGTATATAAAAATCTAATAATAGCAGTTAATGGCTATTATTATTATAATTGTGAATACTTTGTTTGCCAAGTTTATATGAAGAGCTTTACACACATTTTCTCAGCGTAGATGGTGTTTTAGTCTACATTTTGAAGATAAGGAATATAAAGTTCCAAGAGGCCAAGTAAACTGTGGGGAGAGATTGATGAAAGGTATTATTGTCAAGAAAGACAATATTTGTGTTAATAGGGGACTTTGCCTGGTTTCTTACTAATTTCATTTATATCTTTGCTTCCTATTCTTTCTGTGCTTGAACTCCTAAGTAGCCCCTGTTCTCGTCATTGAACCTTTTTTTTTTCCCCCCAGACAGTCTCTCTGTAGAGCCCAGAGTATAGCCATGAACTCTCTATATGACTTGGGCTGGCCTCAAGCACGATTCCCCCAGCCTCAGCCTCTTGAGTGCCAGAATTACAGATTGCCTGAACTTTTTTGTTAAACATTTAGACTTCCTTGTTTCATCACTTGCTCACTTGCCTTAATTCAGTCCATCGTGTGTTATCCACCACAGCAGGGTGGTTTGGACCAGTTTGAGTGTAGGTTTTTAGATTCCTGGCTTCCATCCACCACAGAAAGGCAGTTACGAGCCAGTGCAAGTGTAGATCCTGAGCTGTGTGGCTTCACATCTTGGCAGTGGCTGTGTGATCTTAAGAAAAGTCTGAGAACTCTCATCTCCTCTTCTACAGTGGATGATGTTCTCTCTGTACTTAATCTTTCCCTTTCTAATCACCTTCTCTCATCACTGCTGGTCTCTGGGGATGTTTTGAAATCCTTTCTCTAATCATGGCAGACATTGCTAACCAAGCTTCAGTTCTGCTTTGAGCTTGGCTGTGAACATGAAATCTGCTTTCCATTTCTTTTTTGTTTTGTTTTTGTTGTTGTTTTGAGACAGGGTCTCCCTGTAGCGCCAGCTGGCCTGGAACTCACTATGGAGACCAGACTGGCTTCACTCTCACAGAATCCACCTACCTTTGCCTTCTGAGTGCTAGGATTAAAGGCATGCGCCAACACACCTGGGTGCTTGGGATTTCCTTTTTTTTTTTTTTGGTCTTTATGAGACAGGGTTTCCCTGTAGCCCCAGCTGGCCTAGCCTGGAACTCTCTATGTAGACCCAGGCTGGCCTTAAACTCACAGAGATTCACCTGCCTCTGCCTCCCAAGTGATGGGATTAAAGGTGTGCACCACCACACCCAGCTTGCCTGGCATTTCTTAACTGTAGTTGTCAGATGTTACTAGCTCTGTGTTTATTCTTCCTTCATTGTCTATATGGTACTATAGATCCTTATAACTTAATTCTATAATTCTTCAATCTTTTGATCCAGCAGGAACTTCCATACTCAATATGTGTGATTGACTAGTCAGAATTAAAAGATGCTTTGAGTGTAGTTAGGGACACTTCATTTCAGACATAAAAAAATGAATGTAAACTACTTCAGTCATTGTAATGATTACATGTTGAAACTATTTTATTTATTTATTTAGAGACAGGGTTGCATTTAACTAGCCTAGTCTGGCCTTCATCTCCTGCCTCTGCCCTCCAAGTGCTAGGATTACAGGTGTGTGCCACTATGCCTCGTTTGAAAAATTTTTTTTTTAATTTTACAAGATTTTTATTATTTTTACTTTATGTATATGAGTGTATTGCCTACATGTATGTAAATGCCACATGTGTTATGCAGTGCCCAGAGGTCAGAAGAGGGCATTGGCTCTCCTGGAACTGCAGTTACAGATGGTTGTTAGCTGCCATTTGGATGTTGGGAATTGAGTCTGGCTCTTAACCACTGAGCCATCTCTCTAGCCCCCTAGATTTTTTTTTTTTTAAGTATATCTGGATAGGGCCAGCAATTTGATAACAAATCCTGTTAGGATTTTCATTCCCACCGAACTGTGTTTTTTGGTGTCCGAAAGCACATGGTGTTCATTCTTGCTGTGATGCCTTTGCGCAGGTTGCACTTTCCAACACTCCAGTTGCTCTGGCTCTTCCGTTCTTACCAGTTACGTTCCTGCTGGCCACCGCCATTAAACGTGTTCAATCTCATCCCTCTAACTGCACAAGAATGCCTTTGATGGCCATGCCCGCCTCAGTATTCAGTTCCCCTCAGTGTATCCATATTTGAACTGGACATTGAAAGATGGGTCACAGCTAAACAGTTCAGGTAGAAGAGGAAGACGAAAGAGGATCATGAGAAGGGAAGGGAAGGGAAGTTGTGCAAGAATTTCTTATTTACAGTCTTCTTGAGGAATGGGAGGGAGGTGTGTAGAGTTGTGATGGTTCTGTTTTATCTTTAAACTTTTACAAGGAAATTGTTTCCAGAAACATGGGCAAATGATAACTTCTCAAATGATCATTTTAATCCAGTTAGTCTTTTAATATTTGACTCTCATCAGTTCCTTATCCAATGACTTTTGCTGCATTAAAAATAAGTCTAGGCAGACATGATGGTGCATGCCTATAACTCTAGCACTGGAGGCTGAAGCAGGAGGATCTGGAGTTTGGGGCTATATAACGAGACCCTAAATAAATATAAAACTGAAAATTATAAAATTCTGTGCTCTGTTGAAACCTGGATCATAATTTTACATTAGTGATTTTTTTTAAAAAGCTTCAAATTCTATGCAGTATGATTTTCCATGTCTGTGTATTGTCTAACCTTGCTGGCAACACAACAGCTTTTCCTTTGAGCCTCTCTTCCCCCTCACTCCCCTCCCCACTTGCCTGTCCCTCTCTTGTTCATCTTCTCTCCTAAGCATAAATTCCCAAATTTCCAAAGTCCTTATTTTACAGTGCAGATCTTCTTAACTGGTAAATTCAGACAGAAACTGCATTTGGCAGATGCACAGGATGTGCCCCCTGCTTCCACCAGCTGAACCATCCTGCAGCTTGTTTGGGGGAGATTTGCAGACAAGCAGCATTCCCTACTTTTCAGCTGAATCCAGTAGCAGAATCATCATCCATGGCAAAAATTCAAGTCATAAAGTGCAAGTGCAGTGATTGTTTTCACATACCGCTTCTAGTAACTGTGCTCATTGTCATCGCCAGTGACTGGAGGCCAAGGCCTGGTTGAAGGTCTCATCAGGAAGTGGGACGTGGAGTTGTGCTGCTGTGCTTTCTACTGTTGCCTTATGGGGTTATACTTGAAATGTATTGTGCTAAATGTCCTTGGTAGGGCTGGGGAAATCTGTCCCTCCTGAGCTCACCACTCTGTGGATAGCAAGTTGGTGATGCACAGGCCTCATGTGGCGGCCCAGCCTCAGTTTACATTAGACAGTCGGTACACATGCAGGTGTGTTTTCCAATGGCCAGTGACAAAATGTTTAATAAGTATTTGTGAGATTCGCTATTTTTAATAAAGTGATTGTTTTAAATTATATTCTTTGTCGGTCTGTTTGGGAGACTTTGTAGTTGTCAGTCTGGGAACACCAGGTTCAGTCCTCAGAAGTAAACTGTATTTATAACACTTGAGGTTTTTGTAACGTCTCTGCAAGTTCTGTACCTTTTGCACACACAGTATGTGTAATGAAAGTACATGGACATTAGACCTTGATTTGGATCACAATTCTGCCCCTTAGCTTCAAATAACATGTATATTCAGTCAGGTTGAGTTGAACTTTCATGTTAAATTTAGCATAGGATGTAAATTACCAACAGTAGAGGTTATACAGGGAGCAATTGGAGAAGTGCATGAAAGGTGACAATTACCAGCTTTGCTATCTCTTCCACACTTCTTCCTTTGTTTCAGTCTTGAGGCTCAAACCTCGAGTCCTAGGTGAACATTCCATCACCACCTTTTTTATAATTAAATTCATTGACAGTTTCATGCATGCATACAATGTATATCATTTCCCTCCCACCTCCCCCACACTCCTGAACCCTCCTAC